TGTTGCACAATTGCAAGTCTTGGATTAGTACTGTCAGGTAAGAGTTGAGGGCTTGGCAGTTTTTAATTTTCTGTTTTCTCTTTTTTTCCCCTTCTTATACATCTTTGTTTTAATTAAGATAAAAATCTCATAGAAGACATTGTGCAAACCTCCCTGAGATAATTTCAGAAGAGATATCACGTAATTTTGATTTTTGTTCTATTAGCTGATAGGTATTCTTTCAATGAAGAAATTTTGGAAAAATATAAAAACACACCAGCAAAAGATCCCCACAGCAAGTCAAAACAGACCTAATTTGTGTTTTAGCTGAAGTTCAGCAACCCAAGAGACTTGAAGCCTTTCAAGATTGATACACTTTGTGTGTGTGTGTGTGTGTGTGTGTGTGTGTGTGTGTGTGTGTGTGTGTATATTTAGCAACCATATTGGGTCAATGCAAAGAGAGAAAAAGGGTGTGGGGGTGAAGGTGGACGGAAGGGGAGAGAAGGGGGAAGTGTGGGTGTCTTCCCTCAGGAGCCTGTTGGTCAGAGGACTGAATCTTGACGTCCACAGTCATGCATAAATCTGTATTTGATACAGTCTCTGCAGACTTTGAACATGCCAGGCAGGGAAGCTTGCCCTTCACAGTACGGGTGCACTTTCAGATGGGGTTGTGACTATTCTGATCTGCTCGAAAGAGCCTTTTCAGCACTAACCAAAAACAGAGTGAGGATAGCAAGGCTGATTGCAAAGTTCACATCTCCTCTGCTGTGTGCTGGTGCTAATGGGAGTTTCTCCTGTGATGGGTAGGTCATAAAACACACAGCTGCAGAGACTGTGCAGGGTGAACAAATCAAAGAACTCAGTAATAAAAATGATGTGTGTGCCAATATTATTTAATATTAACTTGTGAAAACTGTTGAAGAAACACATCTTTGTCATATATCAGAATTGACTCTAAAGCTGAATCAACGGATTAATAGGGTTATTTGTAATGATATTGTCCTCGTAAAGGCTTTATTATTTAGGAATCAGAGTTGAAAATTGTAATTCCTTTAATGATTTTTCATCACATAAATTAGCCTGCCTCAACTCCTCCGTCTAGAAGGCAAGAGGAGAGGTTGAGCTGGTCCTCTTCCCCATTCTTACGCAAAATCTGCTCATTTGGACGGATCCCAAATTTTAAAGAAACAAGTTCCTGGAAGAATTGCAGAATGCCAGTGCTCTCAAGACTTTCACAGGGCATCTCGTTTCAACACCGACTGCCTGCATTTTATCGGAGTACTAAAGGACACATTGAAATTATTTTGTTCTGGCACTGGCATGTGTTGTGATGTGTATGCATTCAATTGCACTTGACAAATCTTTGGGGCAAACAAAATGGTCTAATGTAAGGAAATATCTTAACATATTCCAAAATGACATTTTTAGACCAAACATGTGTTCGATTGATTTGCCTTCTCCAGAGATCACTTTTGAATGCAGGCCAGCAATACGCGGGGGGGCAGGCTCTCGCTGAAGGCCAGGCGGGTCAGCCGTGCTTCCGCTGGTATTTCCTGCGCTGCAGAGTCCCGTACCTAACTGTACAAATAGCTCCACATGGCATCCTGAGAGCGTGCCAGGGAATTTTATGATCGCACGCCAAGTATGGTTGTCAGGTTCCACTCCACTGCTGTGTGTGTATGTGTGTGCTCATATGTGTGTGTGGCTGAAGCTAACTTCAGACTGAGTAATTACCATAATCCAAACAGGGCCTTTACCATCTTATTTGCATTCAGCCAGCAGTGCTGTTTTTATCAGCACCACTACTGAATTGTTGCAAAGTTTTAATTATCTTGACAACTCTCCTTTTTTTTTTTTTTTTTTTTTTTTTTTTTTTTCTCCCCCTTTTTTTTTTTTTTTTTTTTTTTTTTTTTTTATTTTCTCTCTCCCCTCTTAGGTTGTGTTTGGATATCAGCAGTCATCCCCCTATGGCAGCAATCACATTTCTGCAATGAGGAAGTTTTCTCACTTTTTCTTCTAGTATTTATAAGCAGCCACAAAGGCTGCTTAGAAGGGGACAGAAATGGAGGGAGGTTGTATTTATTAGTTAATGCCTAATATTTTTTTCAGCAAAAGTCACTCTAGATGCCTCTTTTTGAATTGCACTTGAAGCCCTGGTGTAACTTTACACATGTGTGTAAGCTTGCAGAATTGAAAGTAAACCATTTCCTATGCAGAGAAATACCCCCTTGCATAAATGTTTGCCAAAATAGATCTTTAGTTGTCATGTTTTCAATATTTCCATAATCTTTTGATTTAGGATTAGTATAAAGTGTATCATGTCTCTTATATTTGCTCTCTCTCAAACACCCTGCATTTTCAGTATTTGAATGGTGTTAGACAAATTCAACCTTGAAATAAGACACCGTCTCCTAGCAGTAAGGGTAATTAAACACTGGAAGAGCTTACCCAGGGAGGAGGTGGACTGACCATAGCTTGGAGTCTTTAAAATGAGATTAGACATCTTTCTGAAAGACATTGTTTAATCCAGCTACTTGAGAAAGATTCTAGTGCATGTATACAGGGGGTCAGACGAGAAGATTGGCAACGCCCCTTTTGACTTCTCAGACTGTTAGTCTAGAAATCTGAGTTCAGATATCTTTTGGTTTAACATTTAAAGAGCAGCTATAGCATCTGCACACAAAAATTGTTTTTTGGGAACATTAAGACTAAATAGATTTTAAAACTTTGTTGTCCACTGCAGACAATAATGCTCTGCCTGCTGGGTTTTGCATTACCTTTTGTTTTGCTTTTATAAATAGCTACAAATCACTAAGTTTAATGCAGAATAAAATACTCCAATATGAGATTGCTATGGAGGAATAGAAGGCTTTAAAGTATAAAATTCACAATCACAAAAAATGCAAAAATGGTTTCTAGTCTGTTGGCATCTCAGGTACAATAGTTGTTTTAAAAATAAGCCAAATTAATGCATTTTTTTAACCATAGAATATTATGACTGTATTTAGCATCTCATCTCTTATAAAGTTTATGCATTAGATTGCATATAATTGCCATCAAACAGCATGGCAGTATTCTGTTCATCTGAAAGATAGACAAATTCCGTTTAACAGTCCTTACACATTTCTTTTGCTGCATTTTGGCCTTATGAACACCTTATCCTTGTTTTCCCTTTAAAAGGAAAAAAAAATTAAAGGTAAAAACCATTAGGGATTTCTCTTTAAATCCAGCAATCTATGCATACTACTAAGAATCAATGCTCTGTAAGCTGTCTGGTGTTCTGCAATAAATTCTAGCTTTTATAGACTTTTTCTGGGCCAGGTAGCTGTTAATGCCATAGAAATTGATTATTTGTGGTGTTCTTATCACTGCTTAAAATATCTAATTGCTTTTTCTCCACAGATTTGGATTTGGCTTGCTTGATGCTGGACGATTAATGAAGGAAGCCCTAACTGGACAAATGTTGGTCTCCTGAGACAATGTGTTGTTGATAACAGGTCTGATTTGAGCAAGTCTAGTCAAATTCAATTTTAATAGTATTTAGAGGCACACGCAGGGCACATACAGCTGAGCTTTCAGCTAGTTTGTCTGTTTTTAATGTCTGTTGTGTTGCTAAAGCTTATTCCATTAAGTATTAAACTTTGCAAGGCAGTAAAGACATATACCTGTCAGCTGCAGAGACACAAATTTCGCCTCAGTATAGCAGATTTTGTTCAAAATTTGCCTTTCTTCTTTCATACTTATGCAGACTGGAATATGTAATTCATCACTACTTGACTGTTCCTTTCCTGTGGAGGAATTATTGCAGTCTGATTATTTTGAACCCTAAAAATTATTGATTGAGGTAAAGAGACATGAAGGTATTGCAATCAGTTCTCAATCTAGTGAGGGCAACCTACTTAAAGCAGCTAATCCTTAGCCTAAAAGCTGTATGCAGTTGCTACCCCTCCTACAGGACTTTTCACATCTCTGTGCCTTTATCATTTACGTGAAGTTAAGTACAAAACGTTTTCCACTGCACTACCAAAATCAAGATAACCACCAAACATCAGGGCATTATCTTACTGGATTGCTGCATTGAGCATGAAATTCAGCTCACAGCTCAGTCACAGCTCCAGCTGAGGGGGAAACAGGTCGCATGTGCCACCAGAATTCTGGACTTCAGGATGTGTCCCCTCTCACAAAGCTGAAGCAATGACGTCTAAAGTCAGTAAGGTCTAGAGTACTTTCCTTCTTCCAACACCTCCCATTTTCTAGAGAGAGGCAAAACCAGGGGGAAGAAGAAGGTGCATCTGTGTGCCTCACACCTCTTCTAACCACAGAGCAAGCCTCTCTTTCTTTTTCCCCAAAGAAGGTTGTTGAAACAGAGCCTAATGGCCAGCTCCCTGCAGGTCTAGGTATGGCACTGCACATTGTATTAAGCACCACTTTGCAGATGTGACTGCATTTTCTTTTGTGGTGTTTATTGTCTTTTTTATTCTGTAGGGAAAGGTAGAAATCTCAAAGGGGGAAGAAAAATGGATGGACATGGAAAGTCACGAACACAAGGTCCATAGTCCAGTTCCAGCAATTATCTATAATCATAGCCCTTTTCAGCAAAGTGGCCCCTACCCAAGTTGGGACCTGGAGTTCTCTCCTCTGGCTGATCTTAACAATATTTGATTCAAATAAATCAATAACCCCGTTCATATATCTTTCAGCATTTACCCCAGGTCTGTATCAAGACACAGAACAGTCAGACTTGTCACTGCCACCTTGCAGAGATCCTCCTTAGACACATTACTCTGAATCAGGGTGTTTCTTCTCTGCATGCCATTGTTTAGGAAAAAAATTTAAGATTTATTAGTCTGGAGAAAACAAGAGACAGACCATAATTTACTTATTTTTCCTGCTGTGCAGGTACAGAGCAGTTACCTACAATGAGCTCATCCCACAAGCCACGGTGTCTTTTGTTTGTCAATTTCAGCCAGATTAATGTTAAGATGGACTGGGTGCAAACAGCTGTTTTTGTGCACTTATGGATCAATGACTTCTGCATTTTTCCAAGCATTTTTGTAGAAAACACAGGAATGAAGTATTCCTGTGTATTCCTATGAGGTGATTGCTTCCCAAAGATGTTTCTCTGTTCAATCCTGATGTAATTCTCCAGCAAAGCAATGCAGAGAGTTACACCCCTGAGGGACAGGAGCACTCTCCTTTTTCTCTGGATCAATGTTGTATGTAAAAGGTACAGCAAGGAAGTCTGATTCTCAATATTGTACCTATTTGAGGCTTCTGAAGGTGTGATTTATTGGGAGTGATTAATTAAACCATGAGTCATGATTTCCTTATTTTTTCTGTCACATTACTTATGAACAAGAGGGCAGTCAGTGTAGTTAAATGGTATGAGATAGTAAATTTAGAGGAAATAAAAAGAAATTAGTTGTGTTGCATGTGGTCAGCCTGTGGGATTTCCAGCTACAGGTGACCATCTGATAAATAGGGTTCCTTGATTGAAAAGAATAGTTGTTAATGCTATTACCATAACAGATGGAACCATCACTGTATTTCTGGGACTTCTGGGTGTACTGGGAAGGCAGAAGTGAGTCCTTCTTGGCTAATAAAGTAAGAGCAAATGCACCATGTGCTCAAAAGTCAGGCAGGAGCACTGTTCTCCGTGGGAAACAGCACTGCACTATTAGCTTGATCTATGACTTGCCATTTCATGGTTTGGTTGGTTGTTTATTTGTCTGTCTTTTTAATTCCTCTGGAAAATACTGTACTGGCTCTTTCTCTTGACTGAATGATCAGGCTTGGGCAGAAGACATAGCATTCTTCTTCTCTGACCTTTATATCAAAATTGATTAACAATAATTCTTCTTCAGAAAAGGATTGACAATAAGATGTGGATGTTCATCTTTAATGAACTCTAGTCACCAAGTGGAAGTCAGTTAAGTTTGATGATGCAATTGACCACCTTCTCAGCAACAGCTGAATATTTGCTCCTCAAAATGGTAAAGTAATGCTGTATTCATAGATAATATGAAGAACCACCTGTTGCTCTACTTAGATGTTTTGTGTCTGTCATATAATTTCTTGGGACATTTCTCATTAGTGGTAATAGCAGGATATGCTGGCTAGTAGTTATGTAGTCAGAAATGGTAATTAATAGGAATAAAATTAATAAATAAGAATTAGAGGCTGTGTAATCCTGTAAAATATTGAGAATTTTATGTTCATGTATTTTAATCTATGTAAAGTAAGAAGTCCACTCATAACTTAATTGGTTTTGTTTGTTATCATGTTTGGCATTTTAGAGAAGAATTCACTGAAAGGGGTCTATTTTATATTGTTCTCACTTTCTAACATAAGACTCTTATTTAAAAGACTCTTTGTTTTCAGTTATGAAAATACTTTCCTGATCTCATTAGCCAAAAAAAGATGAAGTGCTGTTTTTCCTTTTTATTTGTGACAATACAAATTAAACATACCTATGGCATACCAATTACTGTGTTTATTCTTTTTATACAGAGCAAGCCTGTTAACTGTGAATGTGAAGAGATGAAGCAAGCAAAAAAAAAAAGTGTGAAGAGCTTTGCTGCCATATCGGCCCTATATCAGATAGTTTTAGGATCAATGAATGAATAGGTATTTAACAGAGACTGTTATTCTACAGAGAAGGTCTATTTCCAAGAAATGAAGGGGGGAAAATTAAAAGGCAGATCAGTACATTTTCACTATATGATGACAATATTAGAGAAAGAACTTCATTTGTCTTCATTTAATTTTGGATCTTTACAGTGGAAGAGTACTACAGAAAGATCTAGATAAAATCTTTTATCAGGTGTTGCCACGGTACCAGTATTTTTGTTTTCTTGTTGGAGTTTCTCATGTCAGAAAAACCGCTCTGCTGTGTAAGTTTAAAGCTCACATTCTGTCCTTCATTTTTGCACTTTACATTATAAATCACTTTGTTTACTATAGAGGTAATAGATATCATCGCCTTTGTTCTACCATGAAAGTGTTGATTTTCAAAACACTATATGTTTAAATTATTCTAATTATAACTTAATACTGCTGCAATGACATTTCACATGCAGAAGTTATATCAGCGAAAATCACTTAGGATAACAGGCAGAAATTATTTTTTTTTTCTCTGAGTATTCATAGTACACTGGAAATTGGGAGGTCAGGATTTCTCACAGATAAGACCATCCATTGCTGTGTTTCCCTCTGTGGAGTTACATGCTACATTCCCTTCCTCCCTTATACACTAAAGCAAGAGAAACATTTCCCTCACTCGCAGGGATTCGGTGGTCTTCTTTGTCAGGCACTCGTTTTGCTGGTTTTGGTGCTGTATGAGGCAGAAGATATGGGGAATGTCTGGACAGTCAGCACCAAGTGCTTTCTTTAAATGCCAGAGGTGGAGGAGTTCTGGAAAGAGCTGAAAAAATACAAGTAGATTAATTTGCACTTCACAGAAGTTTCTGTTAGAATAGATTCAGAAAGGGATTGAATGAGAGAAGCAAACACGGAGGCAAAGTAATGGCAAAAAAAAAGCATTAAATATTTCCTTTAAATGTAGTCAGAGATGGGGATTATATTTGACCAAACAACCAAATCCTCCACCACAAGTCAAAACTAAGGTTAACTCCACTTTTTTATTTCAATACTTTCAATAGAAAGGACCCAGTCGGTTATTCTCTGTGTGCTAAATAGTGTACTAGCAACACTAATAGACCAAGCAGGTGGTTTTGTGGCATTGTATGAGTGGTATAATATTTTACGGTAAATATATATAGGATACTCACTCATCTTGTTCAAGTTCCCAATGTACTTTAGAACAAACCAAGTAATTTTGACAGAAAAATGTTGACCAACCCGAGCCTAACAGCATTCACAAAATGAGCTGAATACTGACACAAATCCCATCCATTAAAAAAAAAACTAGTGGTATTACACTGACTTTTACAATTTGAAGGATAAATGTGAGAGATGGAGTAATAAAAGCCATGGAGCTCCTGCTCTTCAAGGATGTCATCCAGAGCTACAAAGGTAATATACCTACTCTTTTTGATTTTCATAAGCTTTGTATAAGTCAAAAATCATTGAAAATTAATAACAGGAAAAAGCATCACTCTGTTTATATTTATTTGGTTATATACATAATAAACTTTAAAAAAAGAAAACAATAGAAAACATTAAAATAGATACAAATACTAAATTAATTCTAGACTTCAAGATTACCTTATTTTCTCTTCCAACATGAGTGATGACTTTTCCAAAACCTTTATTGAAAATATTTCTCTTTCCATCATGGAATTGTGCATCTTGCTTTCTTTTTGCAGCTATTCCTTCTAGAGACATGAATCTTTGGACAAGCAGTTACCAATATCAGAGGGTAGTCTGGAATGTACCACCACCTGGGACACCAAAGGATTACAGATTGCTCTCATGAGAACTGCTGGGTGAGGGTGGTGATGGTGAGTCAGGAAAGTGTCCAGCTAAAGCAGAGTGCCCAGGAGTGCCCCAGGAAACAGAAGCAAGGCCAAACATCTTTCTGCCAAACAGATTTCTGAGCTAACCTGCATTTTCAGAAAGAGCAGATAGACGTTATTCTTACAGTGGATTTCTATTTGAAAATAAAGCAAGCAAAAAGACTAAGATTAGATCCTTATTCTGCATTTCACCAAAGGAGAACTGAGGAAAAGACAGATGGAGTGATTTTCTGGAGCAAGTTGAGCCCCAGGTCGAATTGGATCTCCTGTCTTGTTCAGAGGCTGCCCTTTCCTGACTGTGATGTGGAAGATACACAGCCATTAGCAGGCACCTGCAAAAATGCTCCATCAGTTTTTGCTCAAAGTGACAAAGCCCAGAGGACGATGTCTGTGTTCCCTGCAGGTCTGTAGGGAGCATGATGTAGCTGATGCAATTCCCGGCTCCAGCACACCTGCAAGGTCTCATTGATCTGCTGTTCAGTGCTCTGAAAACTCAGAAATCTATTATCAGTGTGAGCATGTGCTTATTGATCAGGTTACCTGCTTCTGCTCCCTGGGTGCTCCTAATTGTACTGGCGTGCACACACACACACACACACACGTAAATATTCACACACGTGTGCATAGATACAGGCACACACACATGGGTTAGGGGGATGTGTGTATGATAAAGGCTTTACCTTCTTTTTTTATTTTAGCTTTACAAAACTGCACATAAATAAAAAGAATGGACCTTCCCCGTGAAACGTGAGCACAGAAACGCTCACAAGTGGCCAAGAGCTGCTAAATAATTAATCAATAGAGCAGTGTGGCAGTTTGAAATGTAAATGTGATGGATGAAGGTGTGATGCTTGTCATCAAGCAGAAAATGATGTGACTGGAATGGATAACCCAGAGTACCTGCTAACTGGCAAGAGCTTGGACACAAAGATAAAGTAAAGCCATCAGAAAGCAGACCTGGCAACCCCTAATTCTTGCCTCTGACCCACAATTCACTTTCATGTCTCTGTCCCAGAAGAGATGTTTAAAAAAATGATGAAGAGAGATCTTGGGGTGGGAAAGGGGTGAGAAAAAAACCATCAGAAGAAATGCTACCTGACAAGGCTGCAGGCTACGTTCTTGAGAACACCTTTCTTTTCTTTATGTTCTCCTTCTCCTGTTAAATAAAAATGCGGCTCCTTTTTTCCCTTTCCTTTCTTCCGAAACTCTCCCGAGCCGTTCCTGCAAGTGGTTCTGTGACTCGGGAGCTGACAACAGCCGCATGCAAAGGAACAAAGAATGAGAGTGACAATTCAGAGTGCACGCAGGTGAGAAAGACACCTTTTACTTATCAAACTAGGCTGCAAAAAATGCTCTTTTTACTCAGTGAGCTAGAAATAGCGGTGATCTAACAAGGCACTGATCCAAATTCTTTATTTATGCTGAGATGTAATGCTAACAGGATTTTTAGGTTGACTAGTAGTCTGTGGCCCCTCCGTTCAAGTAAGGAAGCATTCCTCTGATTTGGAAAGAGGAAAATCCATATAATTACTGTATATTATGTGACAGGAAAATGTATGCTGTGATGGTAAAGGGTGACAGAAAATGTCCATCAAAAAATTTGTTTTCAGCTATTTCCTGTGCCAGTCATTGCATTCTCTCTGTGGAGAAACATAACACGATAGAACTCAATTGGTCCAAATTTGAGAGAAATTAACTTCTGTAAAAAATGGGATTTTTTGATCCATTCTTTTCCCCCCTATAAAATTGTGAGCCTGCATGTAGGATTTAAAAGGTCAATGTTTCCTTTTCCCTGAAAAAGAGAAACCTCGTTCTCAGTAAGTACTATTTAGCAGGTTGAGGATTTTTTCCTCTTTTGTTATCAAAAGCACACACTTTACAAAAAGTGAAAAATACCACAATTTTACATTAAATTTTCAAACGCTCCAAATATACATTAGCAGACAACACCCACTAAAAGTGAAAGCTAAATATAGATATATAATAATAGTGCTTTGGCATGCAAAATAGATGTTCTACAATTTCTAAGTCATAAAATATAAATACAAGCATTCTCTTAAAATCTTTTGTGTTTTTTAGGACTTCTACAGATTTGTAGCAGTCTGCAGAAGCAGCAGATCTCCAGGTGAACTGGACAGTGTTTTCATATTTCCTCAAATGACTATTTTTACTTTATTTTTTTCTTGGATCAGGCTTTTAATCTTTATGATACCTTTATAAAAGAGTCATCAAGAAAACATATAAGTATTTCTACACAAAATTTAAAAAAAAAACAGGTTCTTTCCAATTAGTTAATTCCAATTAATTAATTCCAAAAATTAATTCTGGAAGTAGAGAATTACAGTTGGCATTAAAATAAAACCCTAGTTTGCCCAGCTCCATAGTAAATAACTCACATTTTGGCTGGAACAGGTTGCTGATGTAAATCCATTGAAGGGAAATCCTTTCTGTAAGTTGACTACCTGGATAAGCTTTAAGCAAAGTGCCAGCTATCTGTGTATGCAGGGAATCACCATGGTCCAAACAAATATTTCCTCTTCAGAATGACAAAAATGTGGTCTGATTGGTAATTCAGCTTGAATTTCATTTTTGGGGCATTTTAAGTCATGTTTTAAATTATTTATTTCGGAGTTTTCATCTAGCTCATGTCAGAGCCACTTACCTGTATATATTTACTTACAAAGCAGCGACATTCATAATAATTTTTAGTGTTTTTTCACAGGTTCACAAATGCAATATCATCCTAATCAGGAATCAGACATCAGAATTTGGAAAAATATGAGTGTGCTAGTCTGTGGGATGGAGGAATGATCCTACACTTTACATCTGTTATGTTTTTGACGGGATATGTTTGTAGATTTTACAGTGTTAAAAAGGAATTTGGTCAATGGCTCACAAAGATTGATGCTGAGTATAAGCATTTGCCACATTGCAGTAATGTAGCAATATTTATCACTAGTAGGTCTTCCATTGCCTCATAAACTGCTGTAGAAGTGGAAAAGAGACATTTTAGCACTCTGTTGTCACTAAACTCACAGAAGTCCATTTCTGTACCTCTAGTCTGTCTCATCTACAGAGGGTCTTGCAATAGAAAAATGACAGATTGGGCTGTAAATGTGCATCAGTCATCCCCAGCCTCTGTGAAGGGAAGGCACCTACTCAGGCTGGAGAGAACCGTGATGCCCCCTGTCCTTGTGCCCAGACTGGAGGCCCAGCTCACTGCTGGAGAGGTGCTTACCAGCCTAGCATTAGGAGCAGTGGTTCACTGTGGCAGGGAATGTACAGATACACCAGCAATTAGCCAGTACTTCCAAATATCGTAGAAACAGAGTTTCTTTAAATTTGCTAGGTACATAGAGGAAAGGGACATAAAAATTAGCCTGACAGAGGCAGAGCTAAAAACTAGATCTGTGTCTTAAACTCCAAAGTGGCCTCCAGCAGCTGCCTGCTGAAGAGGAGAAGCTGATAACCTCGTGGCAGTGTCCCATCTCACTGTCCCAGCCTCCAACAATTTGAAGCTTGGACACTTCCCGAGTTAGGAAATTTTGCCTACCTTGCTGTAGCGATGATTGTTTAAATATACAGCCATGACTTGCCCATACAAGCAGGCTTTGTTTCACCCCAAGTGTTATGCCAAACTAGTTATATATCATTGTGAAGAATAACTGCATATCCCCAGAGTTGATTTCCTATGGCACATTTTACTTAGATACTTTCTCAACACCCTCGCAAATATGTCATAGATCTAAAGCACAATCTCCATTTCAAAATGAATGGGTCTGATTACAGGCATATTCATTTTGTAAAAGGTACAAAAGGATACAAATGTGCCTTTCCATCTCCTATAATGTCAAACTAAGACCCTCTTGCCCTTTTATTTCAATCCCCGCAATTTGAAAATATAAAAAATGACTTGATTATATGTTTTTTACCATTAAGTGTATAATTGCTTTTGTGTTTTGACATTTAATTCCTCTTACCAAAATACATGGTAGGAATTAAAAGTCAAATCTTTTATGTATTTGATGTACAGAACCTTACACA